AATTTGCAATTCACCGGATGTATAAATTTGGCATTAACCGGATCATAATCTGGACCCCTACTAGAGACCATTGGCAGTGAACATCAGACCACGTGATTAATTAATAAAATCAATACATTTGATTGGATGTTACGCTCCGGACTAACAAAAGTTAGTTTTAAACTGAACCTGGATAAACTAAACACTTTATAAACTCTAAAAACTCAATACAAAGCTTTATAATATTTATAAATTTTATTAGTAAATCCGGATTAAAGACAGTAAATTTTTAAACTAAACTCTAAAAAAATTTTTACATAAAGCCGTGGGGTTCAGTTTAAGCAAAGTTGATTGTATTACTTTTGTTTTATTTTGCTAGAAGTAATATACAGTATTATTATAATTATTATTACTATTACTATTATTATATTATTATTATTATTATTATTATTATTATTATTACATATTGTTATTATTATTACAGTATTATTATTTTTTTTAACTATGCTTATCAATCTGTTTTTTCACTAAAATATACTTTTGCAAACTTTTTTGAAACATTATAGTGCATTAGAAAACATAGGTAGATACAGAACTTTTGTTTTCTGGAATAACCAAGAAGTAAAAGCAAGTAGGAACACTATATCCTAATATTATTGATCTACTTTAAAGTAGTATGAATTTTCTGGATTTATACATACTGTATGTAATTGTTATTGGTTTGACCTCATTGTCTAATTCTATTTCATGCAGCAAAAATTTTAAAATTAAAATTTAGTATAAAAATAGGTTCGTTATACGTATATAGTATATTGTATCATGATATATATATTATTATTATGAATTTACATTATATCGATATATCAAAAATTATTAAATTAGCCAAATTTTAAAACATTTAAATCCATAATATGTATTTTATAAAATTAGATTAATTGTACTAACTACAGTTGATACTGTCTAATTAATATTGCATATTCTCTAACGCTAAATGCGTACGTAATGGGAAATTAGAGAGTATCAACCAACCGTATATAACGATAGGTAACTGAAAAAAAGAGTAATAATAAAAAAAAAAATTTATTTCAAAAAACAAAGATATTAATAATTATGATATTCATTATGATTTTTTAGGATTTGGAGGTTTATAATCATAATTCCATCCAGTTAATGGAGGAGTTTCTGTAGGAATTTTCATTTGCCTAGGAAACATAATTTTATTTCCCATTTGTGCGCTATTAAATAATCTAGGTTCTAATTTTCCAAGTTCAATATTCGCTTCATTTAACATTCGATATTTTGCTGCTAATTCATTTTCCCTTTTCTCTTGTTGATTACGTAAGAACAATTTCCATGCTCGATCGATGGTTTGATGTCTTTCGAGATCTTGTTCTGTCATTTTAGGAAGTTCAGGCTTAGGTGTTTCGTAAAGAATTCTTTTAATTATTTGATAACGTGTATCAGTAATGTTAGTATTTTGTGAACCAGGCATTCCTGGTGGTGGAGATCCTTTAGATTTTTTATCAGAACGAGCTAAAAGGCCACGAATTGCTGTTGTTGAAAGTGTAGAACGATAAAAAAAATGATTTTTAGACATTTTTTTTTTTTTTTTTTTGGTGACAAGTTTACGATAATCATTATTATAAACAGAAATCCTAAACTGGATCTTAATATGGATGTTTGCTTTGTGTACTTGTCGTGCGTGGCTCGGATTAACAGGCAGCGCATAAATGCCTAAATACGTAAGCAAATTCATTTGTTATAAGGAATCGTTTAACCAAAATATTATTCTTCCACTTAAACTTTCTCCTTCACGTGAAAAATAGTTGAATCTTATTGAAATAAACGACTCATAAAATAAAATGGAGGGTAATAAAGACGAAGCACTACGGTGTCTCAAAATAGCACGAGATCATTTAGCATCAGGGAATGTACCTAGCGCGATTAAATTTGCACAAAAATCAATAAATTTATTCCCGACACCAGAAGCACAAACATTCCTTAAGCAAACTGAGTCTAAAAAAACTCCAAATGGTCGAGAAAATAACAATCGTCAAACTCCATCGCCAAGTACATCCAGAGAACATAAACAAGGAAGACAAATAGGTGATTATACTACTGAACAAGCTGAGGCTGTCAAGCGAATAAGGGCTTGTAGAACCCACGATTACTATGCTATACTGGGAATAAGCAAAGATGCTACCGATTCGGATGTTAAAAAGGCTTATCGAAAGGTTAGATAAATATATATACAATTATTATTATTATTCAGTTTTTTTATTTTTTTAAGAATTACGCCTGAATTATTTTTAGGATATTTTCCAATCCATTCGGAAAATAATTTCATTAATAATGCAATAATTGCTAAAACTCTTTCATCCTTCCGCAACATAGTTGGCTTTACAAATGCATCCAGATAAAAATGCCGCGCCTGGTGCTGATGAGGCATTCAAAAGTTAGTAAATTTGTTTTTCTTTAATTCCTATAAAATATTATCCTTATTACGCGTTAATTTAATTAATTCATTATTTTTTTTTATTTTAACAATTTAGTGGTTAGCAAGGCTTTTCAAATACTCAGCGATCCACAAAAGCGTGCTATATTTGATGAGCACGGTGCTGACCCAGATTCACGAAGTAGTGGAATCCCTCCTGGTTTTAGAAGCTTTAACAGTGGATTTGGAAACGGTGCTGTTTACGCTGATGAAATTTCACCAGAAGAAATATTTAATATGTTTTTCGGTGGGGATGGTACGCAAATTTATATTATTATATATACATATATACATATTGGATGAGTCAATAGAAATCAGGCCAATTTTTTATAATAAAATTTTTTTAAAACTTTGAATACAAATAATTTAACAAACTTAATCAAATTTGATAAAAAATTTTTTAAATTAATTTTATAAACTTATAGAATTAATTTAAAAAAATTTTATCAAATTCGATCAAGTTTTGTTAAATTATTTCAATTTAAAGTTTTTAAAAAATTATATTAATAAAAAATTTGCTTGATTTTTACTGACTCATCCCATCTATATATATATTTATTTATTTATTATTATTATTATTTTTTTTTGATTATATACCTTTTAATTCTTTTATAGGTTTTCATTCAGCGACTTTCGTTGGCCCAGGATTCAGTACACGAAGGTTTCAACCACGTAGAGCATCACCAAATGGAGAAGGCGCTCGGGAACAGCATACTTCCCCATTACTTACATTTTTTCAACTTTTACCTCTTATCCTCCTTTTCTTATTCTCTTTTTCTTCTAGTTGGTTTTACCCTGCACATGAACCAATGCCATCATATTCTCTCCAAGAAACTAGTCGTTATACACAACACAGATTTACTTATTCGCTGCAAGTTCCTTATTTTGTCGAACCTTCTCGATTTTCTTCTGTTGAACAAAATCCACGGCAATTACGTCAATTTGAAGATCATATAGAAGTTGCATATATAAAAAGATTACACTTAGATTGTAATGCAGAGTTCACGACTAAACAGCGTATGATAAATGAGGCCAAAGGATGGTTATTTCGTGATGATGAAAAATTAAAGGCTGCTGAGGCAAGGAGTTTACCAAATTGTGAAAAACTTATGGAAATTAGTAGATCAAAAAGGTATAAAGAAATTCAACACTTGGTAAGAAGCTGAATTTAGTGATTGTAGTCGATTAAAAAAAAAAACATAAGCTTAGCCGAGTCGGTAATTTTGATACGGTCAAGTAGGTTTAGTTGTACATTTTGATGTCCAAGGCCTTTTTTGCCGTATCCAACGTCCAGGTCCAAGAATGTCCAAGCATGTTTATAAAGTTTAAAATTTTATATAAAAAAAAAACATAATTATATATAAAATTATGTGTTGACTATTTTTTTACTTAATAAATTAAATCAAGTTGCCCATAATAAAATTTTTATTTTAATATTTCTTTTTACATATCAACATCTTTCAAAAGATGTTTATATTTAATTTTAATAATCTATTTCCAAAAGAAAACAAAATATTGTAGATTTGGAAGAATGTGGGATATTTGTTATTTATTTCATTATTTTCTTTTTGATTTTATGATTTTCCTTATTATGTTTTATTAGACAAAGGTATGTTAAAAATCTTTTTAGTGATTGATCGCCTTTCACTTATTCACTTGATAGAGTTTTCGTTTATAACGTTATAGTTTTTTAGCTCCAGAAATTTAAATTTTTTGCAAAATAATTTTTACTAAAATATATGTGTGTGAACAATTTTTCTATTTGTTTTTAGTTTACAACATCCTTTAGTTTAATTAGTAAAATACTTGTTGATATCTTTGGTATCATCTCTGTACTTTTATTATGTAATACAATTTATACCATAGGTGTTATTTTTGTACAGGAAAAAAAAATAAAATAAAATGAAGTAGGGTACCGATCCTAATTAAAATCAGAAATTTTCAATATATTATAGAAAATGAAAAATTATGAAGATTGTGTAACAAAAAAAAAAAAAAAAAAAGGATAGACTACGTTTAAACTAGAAAACAAGGTAACAAGAATCTAGTAATGAATCAAAAAACTACAATTTAATATTTTTTTTTTATACCTGAGTTGCAAATGTTTGATAAATGGATTAAAAAAAAAAAAAAAAACTATTTAAAAGTTATAATTATACACTTTCTTCTGGAGTAGTACGCATAATTGTTTCGATTCTTTTAACTCTGATATAATCCGAAACGCTTCGGATAACGATAAACCAACCCAAGAACATAAGAATGTAGCTATAAACGTATTATAATATTATAATGTATGAATTCAATAATTAAATAATAAGAAAATTCAAAAAAAAAAAAGGTATATAACTAACCTTAGCCATGCTCTGCGTGCTAATTCTTTATCACTTAAGTCGGCCTCATCATAACTATAATACATACCATCATCCTGGAACGACCTACCGCGAAGATAAAAACCATATTGTACCAATGTGATGCCTAGACCAGCTCGGGAGCCATTCTAGATTAATAAAAAAAAAAAGTTTTTAGACGATCAAATTAACAATTACGATCAAACTATGGATATAACGGAATTTTGGTCTATCAATAAAAATTCTTAAAAAATCCGTTACATTTTTTTTTTTAATAAACATACACATAACGGATTTATAATAAATTATTAAATTTAAAATCCGTTATATATACGTCCGCTAAATCCATAGCTGACTTATTATCAATAAATTCATTTTGTACCTTAGCAGCATGGTTAGTGTGTAAAAGGTATGTTAATAAGAATCCAACAAATTGAAAACTCATTGATACTATTTTTTATTTTTTTTAAAAAAAAAAATCAGTTCAACAATTCAATTGTATATTAATTGTATTAATTAAAACCCATCGGATATTTTAACAACTTACCAAGCATATTCCAAATGAAACTGAAAAAGTTTCCCACAGGTAAACCTTCTACAAGGACTTCATCCCCACATAATCCAGGTGCAATGACAGTCGTTTCCCAGTATGGAGGTGTAGCATCGGCCGCAGCAATTTCGTATGACTGGACAAATCGTCAACATTTGTTAATGCCATTCATTAGATACAATGTAGGAGAAAAAATTCTATCTTACTGGTGGGTTTTCATCTTCTTTACTAGTTTCTGTGTCAGGCTTAGCCGACAAATTGGAGAACACTCCGTCAGTGACAACGGGCAAAGTTGCTGGTGCTGTTTGTTTCTTTGTCGAGCTCAATATAGGAAATCTGCTATTACCATTATCATTTTCTGGTTCGTTATCTGTCGAATCAGTGTCTTTCGAATGTTCAAGAATAGGTTCTGATTCTATAATGTCATTGTTATTAGCAGTGTGTGTAGAGTAAGCAGGACTTGGAGAACGTGATGCAGAGGATTCGGCAGTTGAAGACGGAACTTGGAGTTCAACAACCTGAACGTCATCACTTTCAGGTACCTGATTATTAACAAAATATTTTTAGCCACACCTTTTAAAGATTCTTCAAACTTGATCAGCCTCTAGCACAAAAATAGGTTGATACTACTCTAAAATAATATATTAAAGGGACCCGCTTACTCGTGAATATCCACTCATTTTATATATTTATGTATATATATATTTGTACAAATTCTAAGGTTAAGAAAATTTATAAGCTGCCTTATATTGTACTTCTTGGAAATGAAAAAAATAAAGGAAAGAAAGAAATACGTGACTAATTTACGGCAAAGGTTAAAATAAAACAATAACCTATTAAATATATATTTATTATATGTTTAGATTATACAAGGGCAAACATTAGGTCGTATAGTGTAAAATTTTATACTGGTAGCCGTTAGAAACCCGGAGAAGAAATTACCAAAGCCATATTTCAAAATCACGCCTTTAATGAATTAACTGCCAATCATGTATCATTTTTTGATATGAACCGCATATAACAGATATGGTGTAACCACATGACAATATAAAGAATTTATTTGACAATGAATTCACTTATCATTCAATTTATCACTCAATAAAACATTTCACTGATTTTCATAATTTGTTATAAATTGAAACTATTTTCCATTTGCTGGACTCGATTTTGCCGGACTCGGTGGACGTTCGCGTTCAAGGGGAACAAACTTCAATGCTTCGCCATCATATCTATTTAATAAACGCATTTATGTTTATTTATCCATTATTCACTTGGATTTTATTAATATAATAATAATATACCTGTAATCGAAAAATAATTCTTGACCAGGTTCGAGATCGCTCATCGCATAAATTCCTATACGATGTTCGCCATTTACTAACGTAACTAAATATTCATTTAATATTAAAATGATTATTAAACGAATCAAACTAAATTATGTAATCAGTTGCGATTTTGAAAACTTACCGCGACAAAATGCGTTTGGATCATTGGAATGGTTAATGAACCTAAATTTATTACCCTTTCGTGTTGCGTCCACAACAAAATCTACAAAACATGTCATTATTAACGTTTTGACTATTTCAGCCAAATTTTATATTTAATGTCACTAACCTTTATTCAAATTGAATAAAAAACTGGTGCCTCTTTTATCGTATATTTTTCCACGTCT